ATTTCACAATCAGGAAATATTCCTTATAGAATCATTTTGTCTTCTAAATGTTTGGGGATTCTTGTCTTTTTTTGAAGTCGTGGCTTCTTATAAAATCATGATCTCACTTTTGAACCACCAGTCATCCTATCCACAAAAATTAAGTAGTCTTAAGGCCTATTTAGTGATCATAATCTTACAGTTCAAATCCCGGGGAGGGTTCTAACTATAAACAGGCAGCACGCCCCTTTGATTTCATAGTGGAAATTCACACCAGGATCATGGTGGTATGACGTTGCCAGCATGGCTTGAGCTCATCATAGTTTCTGTTACCCGGAAAACGTCAGCGCAAACCATGTTCGACTTCGTTAAAGATCTCCAGTGGCGAGCTTTGGCCAAAAACAGTTGCACTTCGTAATAAATATATATATATAGTGTACATAAGATAGATAATGATGTGGTTTAATGTGTTTTATGATTCAGCTTGCGCTTAGTAGTTTATCCCCTTTGAGCTTTGGTTTCATTATTTTAGTCTGTGAAATGTTCTTATAAGGTGTTTTGACTTTACGTATCATTTGCGTTGTGATTTTACACGAAAGAAACTCTGTAGACTACATACCGGGTCGCGCGTGGAAATACTGCTTGCGTGCGTAGCTCCCTGCAGTCTAGCAGCCACCGAATATGTGGAGGCACAGCACGGCCAATTGCAAGCTCAAACCTCGCTTGAACTTTGCAGGGATGAAGGACTTGAAAGCAACTGATGTCTCGAAGTCTTGCTTTCCAAGATCTGGGCCAGCTGAAAGGATGTAGGACTGGCACGATGCGACTGAAGAACCAACCTGATGGGCACGTGTTCCAGGTCTCATCTCATTAGCGCGCTGAACAGAACTTATTTTTTTGGATCTTGGCTCAGGAAAGCCTGCTGAAATGCTTCAATCCAATCTGAGGCCCAGCAATGATACAGGTCGCCACAACCCCTAAGACAGGAGTGAACTTTGCTGCCCTGGCAAATGAAGGGTTGAATGTCCGTGGTTGCACTGCTTACTCAATTCACAACACAGAAAGTGCAAGTCAAACCTGGACGAAGCATTTGGCAACCACTGCTTGAAAGCTAGGCCAAAAATCGTAGGCGCTAACATCACCTGACGCGGTCAGTGACAAATGTTTCAGGGCCTGGGAGGCCTTTGAATTCACTTCCTCAACACGACACGACACAGTGCGCCTTAACGGTGGAGAGGACGATCCCAATCGCATCCACTGAAACAACGGTTCCTAAGATGCGTTGGGCCTTAGCTGCGCACTCCAAAACCTATGCACTCTTGAAGCCCGCCTGTCGCCTAAAGACCAAAGCGTTCTGAACTTCTTGGTCGAGGTCCGTCACTTCCAAAGAGTTCAGTGCATCTCTACAAACCCTGAGCAACTTGCAATCAGAGGAGTAGCGACGATGCACAGGAGCGTTGTCGACATTGTCATAAGCACGCTCAACGCCACATCACCTCCAGCCTGCTGAGAAACTTAACAAATGCAATTGCACATCCCAAAAAGTGCGTCGCAAGTTCGTCGTGCCATTTTCACTAAGAACTTGACAATCAAAGTGCACAAATTCGAAGTATGTCCACCATTGATGGAGCCAATCAGCACAAGCCCGGCAAGGGTTGGTGCATTTGCCCTGCCAGCCAAAAATTATGAAACATGGAGAGCTTGCGCTACCAGCTCCCCTGCAAACGAGCCGCTTTATCAGCAACGCCAGAAAATAGGCCAGCGCCTGGGTCGTGTGTTTCCCTCAAGTTTCATCCTTTCAGTTTCAACTCAGGTCATTGCTGGCATGATCATGAAGCAAGCGCAGCTGTTGATGACCTCCGATTTTTGAACAGGCTTGACATTGATTCAAAGCCAACGGCCGCCACATTCAACAAAAACCACAATCGAGATTGCGACCACTGCAAGCCAGCTCTTCATACTGGACCGAAAGTCCTCTACACTTGTAGTCAGACCTGAGAAAACGAGACGCACAAAACACGCACATGTGCGGTGACAGTCTTCGGCTGCTACCAAGTGGCCAACACTAAACATCAATAAACCTAACAGCCACGTAAACCACTCTGGCTTCACCCACACAAAGGTCCTTGGCTCAAAAGACTTGCAACGCCCGGTCATAACCAGAACGCCACCACCGCGCAACTCCGGAAGTAACATTCTCTGGTCTGCCATGGCTCGAACCACCAAGCGGCTCTCATAAGCACGTTTTTCATATGGTGTGGTGTGCGGTGCACATACTACTGGGGAACGAGGGCCTACCACGGCTGAAAAACGTTCCAACGAAGCAGCCGCAGTACATGCGGATATCAAAACTGATTACCATGGACAACCTCCTATGACTGATGATCGGATGATTGACTTCTCCTATTGAATTCTCCTTTCTCAGTCCCGTCGGACCTAGAACAGTCCTTCGTGTGTCCATCTTCCAGTGCTTCTGACTACAGATTAAGCATTGCTGAAGACGAAACAACATTTCAACACATCAAAGCCGAGAACGGGTATATACTGCAATATAAGCCATGAATGTTGTTTACTTTTACTTATACCCTTTCAGAAGTTCTGTTCCTTCCAACGTCCATAGCGCTGCAACCGGCGGTGCGTTGCCATCGTCCCGACTTTTGCGCGCGCTACCTTTCAAGGTCAGCTCAGGGCATTCGATGAGCAAAAGGCCGTTGGCTACAAAAGAAGCAGCAGGCGACATCGCAAGCGCCGTAGCCAACAAACCTGGAACAAGTCCTTTCTCTTCTCAGCTTCACGCAGCTGACGGACACTTTTTTCTTCGTCTTCGGTTCGTCCCTGTTCTTTTCGTCTCATTCAGCATGTCAGGATCGCACTCTAAATGTAACTTACATGTTCTTTGATTTTGATTGTCAAAATTGTAATGTATCAATTATTGTTTAACCGTCAAAAATGTAATGTTACATTTTCGACCCCACAGCTTACATTGTTTCATTGAAAATTCACGGGAAATATGACACCTGTAGACCCCCCTACCACGTTCAGGCAATTTTTGCTAAGTTACACTTTTTGCTTTTTGAGCCCGTATACTGAACATGATGTAACATTAATTGTTGAAGGCTTTGTCTCTTTAGTAGATTCATTGCATTTCTTTTCATTTTGCATTAAGTTCATATATATAATCCTTTCATGCTCCTTTCATGTTGCATGTATGTCTATTAATTTTCCTTTCATGGTGTATTCATTTCCTTTCATATGCCTGTCATTTTCCTTTAATTTTGCATTGATGTCCTTTCATGTTCCTTTCATAGTCTATTGATGTCCTTTCGTGTTCCTTTCATTTTGCATTTATGTCCCTGCGTGTTCCTTTCGTTTTGCGTGTCCTTGAATTTTCTTCTCATTTCGCACTCATATCCAACCATTTTCCTCTAATTCTGCAGTCATTTCCCTTCATGTCCCTTTCATTTTGCAATCACTGCCTGTCATGTTCCTTTCACGCTGCATTCACGTCCTTTCATGTTTTCCTGTCATTGTGCATTTAGTTCCTTTCTGTGTCCTGTCGTTTCGCATTCATTTCCAAATAGTTGCTTGAATGTTGTTGTCATTTCCTTTCATTTTGCAGTAATTGCCTGTCATGTTCCTTTCATGTTGCATTCATTTCTCTCTCATGTAGAAATATGAAAAACTGTAACATTAAATGCTGAAGGCGTTGTCCTATCATTTTGCATTAATTTCATTGCATTGGCCTAAATTAGTCGACTCTTTCCTTTCATGAGTCCCTTTCATGTTGCATTCGTTTCCTCTCACAAAAAATGTAAAAATGAAACGTAAAATGCTGATTTGCGCATGTATTTCCTGTCTGTGTCTTTCGTTTCGCATTCATGTCCAAATAGGCTTCTTTGAATTTTGCAATCAGTTCTTTTCATGTTCCATTCATTGCCTGTCATGTTCCTTTCATGTTGCATTATGTTGCATTCATGTCCCTTCATGTGCCTTTCATTTTGCAATCGTTGCCTGTCATTTTCCTTTCACGTTGCATTCATTTCCTCTTATGAAAAAAGAAAAATGTAACATTAGATGCTGAAAGTGTTTCCCTTTAGACATCTCCTATGATTTTGCATTAATTCCCGTGCACTGTCCTTTCATGGTGCATGAATTCTTTCATGTTTCTTTAAAGGTGCATGCAAAATGTAACATGTAACATTAAATGCTGAAGGTGTTTTCCCTTCAGAATTTTCCTGTAATGTTGCATTCATGTCCTTTATGTTCCTTTCATGTTCCTTTCACGTTCCTTTCATTTTGCATGTATTCCTTTCATGTTCCTCTCATGGTGTATTGATGTCCTTTCATTGTCCTTTCATTTTGCATTGATGTCCTTTCATCTTCCTTTCATTGTGCATTTGTGTCCTTTCTGTTTCCTTTCGTTTCGCACTCATTTCCAATGATTGTCCTTTATTTTGCTGTCATGTCCTTTCATTTTGCAGTCATTGCCTGTCATGGTTCCTTTCATGTTACATTCACTATGAAAAAACAGGTAAAATGCAACTTTAAATGCTGAAGGTTTTTTCGCTTTAGACGTTTCCTATCATTGTGCATGTTCATTATGTCCTTTCATGTTCCTTTTATGTTGCATTTAGTTCCTGTAAAGATTGCAAAAATGTAACATTAATGTCTGAAGGCCAAGATTTTATCCCTTTCGACATTTCCTGTCGTTTTGCAAAATCCTGACGCACAAACGTACACAAACACACACACACACAAAATGACGCCACCAAGCAAAAAATCAATAGGAAGAAAGGAAAAAGTAAAGAAGAGAAAAGGGAGAAAGCTCTAAAGGCAAAAGGAAGACACAAAAAGACATGGAGAAAGTGGAACCTCCAAAATGTAAGTTGCATGTTTGGAGGCTGCAAAAACAACAATGGTATGCACCTACAAAGGGAAAGATTTCATATGAAAGCCGGAGAACCAAAGATGCATACGGGGCAAACAGTCAATAAAGTGCTCACGCAAGGCCCCTACGGTCAAATGGCAACTGAGAAGGAGGGAACATGGGAAGACATGAAGAAAATTAAGAAACCAGCAATAGAATGAAATACGGCAAATGATTCTCACGAGCGGCTTAGTCAGGAACCGGGTGTTGGCCTAGGGCCTAGGGCCCAATGGTATCTGGGAAGAAGGAAAAAGTAAAAAGGAGAAAATGGAGAAAGGTCTAAAGGTGGTATCTGGGAAGAAGGAAAAGTAAAGAGGAGAGAAGGGAGTCCACAAAGTGCATAAATTGTTGTGACTCCCGTAACCATAAATACAGTACGTCGCTGTGCGCATTCCAAGAATTCAATGTTTTGCGCACGCCAAGAACTCAATGACTAAGCTAAGTGAAAGTGCAGGTGTGCTCAATCAGGAACAAAAGCCAACAAGTAACTTCCCAGCCAAGACTCCAGCGATCCACCAAGCGCAACAATGTACAAAATTGTACAAACAAACTGCTCGCTTGCATTCGAGTTTCTCAGGGAAAGCAATCGCAAGCAGCGTCACACCAATCAGCCAAAGAACGAAGTGCTCGTTAATTTGAGAAACAATCCTTATGGCCGTGGCTAGTAGGATGAAAGCATTGGGCTCCTCTACCGACCTACCGACTCCTGATTCATCACATTCGAAGTTTGTGGGAAATCAACTCTGTACATGAGCTCTGCAAAAATGGAAGCAGAAATTGTGGAGGTTTGGTTTTGCGGCCAGACTAGCCTGCGTTTGGCAAAATGCGCAATCACTTCAACCCTGCAACTGCAAAAACAACGGGCGTCAAGACATACAGGGCACCCCATGTTGTCCTAAGCTACTGAATAGGTTCAACTTACGTATGCCCTGTACTGATTACCCGTTGATACAACAAGTGCTGTCTTGAAACACAAAGAATTAAACACACAAACCTTGAAAGAAGAACATTGTAAACAATAAAACCCTCGGTACGCAAGGAGCTCTCACAACAATAGAACCAGCATGATAATATCACACTGAGACTTTCAGCCAGGAGACCTCTCAGCAAGCTTGACTCCCTGCACTCTGGCAAAGACACACCAAACAGCATTTACCGTCAATGAAAGGCACGTTACGCTGAAACGTTCCCTGGCCTTGCTGGAATCTACAGAGCTCCTTGATAGAACAAGGATTTGCTTGCTTCCTCTTCCTCCCAGACCGGCTGCTAGAACTGCCAGGACAGCTCGGCTGGAAGTTTGGCACCTTCGCGGCGGTCTTTGCCAAACCGCCAAACCACCAGCTGGTCTTTGCGGAGTTTGCACGAGGCCAACATGGGGCTGGACATGTGCAAAGCAAGCCATCAATGTACTCGTACTCACATCTGTGCGCCTAGGTGTAGAGCTACGTAGGTTTGCAAGGGTACACAGGTGAAAGCTTGGAGTGATAATCCAAGGCAGCTTGACTGGAGCTATTCAAATTGGGGCAAGAATATTGCTAAAGCTTACCTATATGAGGTACGGTGAGAATCTATGATGTGTGGTTGTTGCATCGTTATATTTGTGAGTCCCATCTTTTCCCTTGTTTAAGGGTATCTTTTTCTTTGTGACTCTGACTCCCCCGTCGTTTGCCAGAGCATGTGAACGCAAAGCTCTTGTGCAATTGCAATGATCATCGCAAATCTTGAAGGCACTTCATATATAGAGACTTGAAGATTGGCTCCGTCGTCGCTTTTTCAGGATGTGTGAGGCGCTCAGGTTCAGTCACATTTGTGGCTGCGGCCTCCAGCCAAATTTGAATCTGTTTGCCAGTGGATTGCTTTGCCTTTGAACAATAGATTCAATTGACACCTGAGGAATTGTTTTGAACTGATCCGCTCTTCATCCAACGGCAGCATTCCGAGACACTGAGGTGAAACGTGTCCATGCTCAAGCAATGTGGACAAATTGCAAAGTGGCAGAACGCTTAGTAGCAATTTGACAAACACAGTGTCCCAGTCAACTCATTGCAACTTTCAATTTGGATACATGCGCCTGCCAGGCACTTGCTGCCCAAATTTTTGGCTGCAAACCTCACAGCGCTGCCGCGCAAGCCTCGCGAAAGTGTCTGTCGTTTGATTCTCTTTGACTTTGTGCTGTGCATCAATGTGAATCCAGACCACTCCACTCCACTCCACGGTGACGTCACATTGACAAGCCTGTTCTTTGCCCTCTGCAGCTCCCTGAAATCCACCATGACCCAAGGACGCCATGTAATCAATCACAAGCCCCACTGGCATATCTGGAAAGCGGCCTTGCCAATCCTGCAATGCGCTTGTGAGATTGCATTCTAGCCTCTTTAAATCTCAAAAAGTCTGCGTTCATGGT